ATAAGCACAAAGTATGAGTTAGTAAATAAAATACTCAAGATACACAGATATGGAGGTAGATATAGTAAATGTCTGAGCTGGAGGAGAGAAAAAAAAAAATTTTGTGCTAAAAATTTATATAATACATATACATATAAGCCAATACTTTTGTTAAGCCTTCCCTTTCTGTGTGTTGCAATCAGCAGATTATCATACATGATGGTTTAAACTGAAAACTTCAGTAGGCTGACCTATTATTCACATTTCCAGAGAGAAGTGTAGAAAATTGCATTTAAAAAAAGTATTTATTTTTTCCTGCAATCAACAATTAGTCGTGTTTCTGCTCAAGAGACAAAGTGGAGAGTGAGGATTGTATGGACTTGTTTCAGAACCAAACAAGCTGGTTAAATATGATTGAATTTTATGTTTCCACTCTGGATAACCCTTTGAAAACATGCACCACTTCTTCAAACAAAGAGAACTTACTCATTGTATTAGGCTATTAATGCTATTATTAATCAATATAATGAGGGACACTTGCATCCACAAAAAATGAAAACTTTCCCATTCAGCTACTCCACTCACTCCTGTCCTCAGCTCTGGGACGGTCCTGCAGGTTTCTGTTGCCTAAACTCAACTCCACGGCAACAGGGTATGTATGTCATGGTTATGTTACTGTGACGTACACAAACACACATGTCCTGAAATCTGATCTCAACAACGGTCTGCTGAGGTTGATTACATTTCTATAACCATCTGAAGGTGGCTCAGCTCAGCCCCTCAGTCTACCTCTGCCCTCTCTCTCCGCCTCCTTCTGTGCCTTGAACCGGGCGTCTTGAATTCTTGTATTTAATTTATCACCTCAGCTTGTTATAAACTATTTCATTATTTACTCATTTTTAAGTGAAAATTTTGGCCAAAATTTCTTCTGTGGTTCGGCTCTGGATTGCACAGAATTGTTTTTGTGGTCAGGTTGGGCCTGATTAAAGCTCTACCTTACAGCCCCTTCCAAGATACAGTTCAGGTCTTCATCGACTGCTTTCTTTCTTTGTGTATTGGGGCCATTAGAGCTACTGTCGTTTGTTCTTGGAGGCTGTGTGCACTGCCGGGCTGATGGAGCTGCCAGTAGAGTGCCAGCAGGCGGTGTGGGCACTGGGTTGATCTCTTGGCGGGTTCTGTAGCTTGCTCGGGTTCTTCCTCTCAGAAAACGTGGTTATGGCAGTCAACCCTCCTTGCCGTCTCTCTGGCTGTCACCAGTCTGTTCCTGGTCGTCACTGCAGTGCCAGAGTGTTTCAGTTCGTACCTCCTGATGCACACACATGACCATAATAACATTCCCATCAGTCTCAGACTTTGTGTTTAGTGCTAATTGGCAAATGTTCACATGCTACCAGGATAAACTAAGATGGTGAACATGGTAAACATTAGTGTGTTAGCGTTGTCATTTTGACCATGATGTGAGCATGCAGACGATAGTATTTAGCTCAAGCATCAGTGAGCCTAAGTATAGCCTATAGACAGTAAGGTTTAAGATTGCACCTGAACAGTGCTGGGGTCTGACGAATGTAATGAGAATGGGCTGTGTGTAGGATAATGTACTGCCCCTGAGACTTGTGAAAAAAGGGGCCTCTCCCTGTAGATAAGGGCTCTAAGTCTCACGGTGCCTCTTCTCCAGTGTACTCTATGGAAGGCGACCTGTGATGTCTGTAGATAAAAACGACTCATTTTAAGGTAACGAAAACCAAAGATTCCTATATTCAGGTGATTATACACAGTAATGAAAACACACCTATGAATATTATATTTAATATCTGCCAATTTATCCTCCAAATGTCACACTCTGGACTTTTAAATATTCTTAGAAATCTCAACATACATCACTTTAAGATGTATAAGATGAGACAGTACTGTGAAACTCCACTCCATGCTCAAGCATCACAACTATAACCTTGCAGAGATGCTAGCATGGCTCTTTTCACAGAGAAGCCATGTTTTTATTTGAAATGTTCTTGTCTCCGTATAAATTTAAATGGTCACAAACAAAACCCATATTTGGACAAAAAACTAACACTAGCTAGTTGGCATTTAACTCCAACCAGCTTCAGAGAGCCACTAGCATGGCTGCTTTTGCATTTTAGATGATTTTCCACACGAGAATGGGATTTTATTTTAAGTACATTTAATGTTTTATCATCCCTTTTATGCCAAACGTAGATCATCAACGCAGATCTATTAGAAATTGAATTAAAGTGTCTATGTGTTGCATCTGATGCAGTTTCTGACCTCCTGTGACAAATAAGACGCAGTGTTACACAGAAAAGTAGTTCAACCAATATGAATTGAGTTTGTGCCTCAGAGCGTTGTGTTAAACTGCAGAATGAGGCGACACTCGAGCAACACGTGAGAGTAGGACCCCGCCACACACACTCATACACTCACACACTAACACGACATATAGCTTACTATCCCCCCTCCCAGGACTCACCTGACTCTGTCTACGTTTGGCTCTCTTCCATCGCCTACAGGGTGTTTTACTGATTTTTTGTGAGCAGCAGAAAGTACTCAAACTTGTATCCTACCCACACTCACCCGCCCAACTTGCTACGTGAGCAGAAAGGCTGGCAACACCCAGGAACATACTCATCAGTCTGACGAGAGAATACTGAGGACAGCTTCCAATAACGAGATCTCTAACTGAACTCAGGTGAGTGAGCAGAAAGAGTGTAGATGCAGCATTTATAAGCAGTTATTACTAACAATTATTAGCCTATTATGTTTATTATGTTGTGCGTATAAGAAAATTGTGTAGATTCAGAAGTATATTTACTAAATTGTACTGTACTTCAGCACAGTTTTGAGGTCCTTGAGTATTTCAGTTTTGCAGTGGTGGAAGAATAATAACAAGTAAATAAGAAAATATTGGTGAGTTAGTTAAATAAAAGACACAACTAGTCTTTGTTTTGTAGGAGGTCACAAGCAAAGAGGTTGGAAGCAACTGGTTTAACTTCTCACTGTGTTTCTAACAAAGTGATCCTGTTATGTAAATGTCTTCATTTGAAAGGTAAAATTTTCAGGCAAATGCAGTGAAGTAAACAGTCAACTAAAGTATACTTTAACACAAGTAAAGTAAACAAGTATCTCAGATTTGCATTTAAGTTGGCCTAAATGTATTCAGTTATTTTCCATTAATGCCATTTTAGTTCCTCTAAACTACAAAAAATAACAAGCTTTATTTACACCTGTAGTTCAGTTCATTTGTTCTAGACCAGAGAAAAAGTAATGTTTTAATTAACTGTATTAATACAAATTTCAGTTCTGGTCCAGTTCCTTTTCACACTTTAAATTAGTTCTGGTTCTTGAGACCCCAGTGCTCTCTGATGGTCCAGCCCTCGTTTCAATGATTCAAGGTTATTTTATTGTCATTTAAAGTTGTAGAATTAAATATTTTTTTATAAAAAAACAAAATTAAAATGCACTAATGAGTCATAAAAACATTAAAAAACACAAATTTGTACGATGAATTGTACGGCCCGAGGGAAGAAGCAGGCTATAAAACCAGATAAGTTTATTTAAATGTTGAAACTAATCATAATTTTTAAGTAATTTTTAAGTTTTTTAGTTAAAAAAGATTCTTGATTAAGCTGCTTTTACTTGTTATTTTAAGTGGCATTTTTAGCTATTTTGTTTAACAGTACAAAAAAAAGTATCACTTAAAATGACCAAACCTGAATATCAAGGATGTTTTTTTCTTTTACTTTACTTTTAATAAAATGTAGTTAGTTTTACTAAAAATTATATAATGAGTTTCAACATTTTTTTGAGTCAAATGAACTTGATTTTACAGTTAAATGCTGGGTGGGTGCTGTCCTGTAGTGTCCTTTAGGGTCTGCAGCCACCTCACCTCACACATATCACAGTGCAGTAACTCATTAATTGTAATAACATTACTTTCCCCAGTAACTAGTAGTGAAACTAATTCCTAATGAATTTCAATAACATTACAGTTAACACCAAAACAATAATCAACATAATGTCACCTCCTATTGATTTGAAATCCAACAATCCAGTCACATCCTTGGATTTATTTCTGTAGTCGTGGAGGAAAACTTCAAGCTTGAAAGATGGAAACATTCAGCTGCTGGAAACTTTGATATTAACAAACGAAACTGGATTTTAATTGTCGTAAGTCAGAATTTTGTGGAGAAAGGACACAATTGCTGGTTTTGTGTGGAGTAGCAGAAACTAACAGTGACCTGTCCTGTTCTGTACATCCCATAATGCCAGTTAGTAATGTTTCCAGCCCCCTCTACCCCCTTGTAGTGATTGCAAGAACTTGGCACCGGAGTTTGCTTTCTTGAGTTTCATTAAAGCTGCAGTAGATCATTTTTCCTTTTGTTTATGTGCTTTTGTAACCAGCATGGAAACGTGTGATGACCGTGAATGGTACTCTATGATGTTGATTACTGGGAAAATGTTTCACCTGCTACGCCTCAGCGCCACTAATGCAAACATGGGTGTGTGAGTAGAGAAGAAGTTATACAGCTGACGTCATCACTGTACAAGAAGCCTGACATTATTCATTACATAATTCTAATAATGCTAACATTCACTCAGGGACGTGCACTGACATTTTGGGGGACAGGGGCTCAAGCTAAAAAAAAAAGGGAACCTACAAATTCTCCCCCTGATGTTGCCGCATCGTGTTTTCCCCTGGAACCGAACTACAGCTGTGAATACAAGTGTGTGACTTCACATGGACGTATTGGTACTTTTACACAAGTAAAGGATGTATTCTTTACGTATGTATGCACAGGCACGGTTTTTAACTGTTCATAAACTCATGCTTTCATCCCTCACCGTGGAAATTGTAGTTTGACAAGTCCATCTGGAGCTCTGAGCCAGATCTGACTCGTTGATCTCAGTTCCAAACAGGAGCAACAAGCTCAACGTTCTATCTGATCATTTGCATATGTAGGAAAAAACAGGTGTGACATGAGAACATCACCTGCATGAGCACGCAAGGTTGAAAACATCCTGTTCCTCTTGTCTGCCCTCACGGCCGTAACATTTTTATAGGTTTTTCTTTTTTTACGAGAGTCCGATAATATTGTGGAGACTTCCTCCGTACAAGGTTCAGGTTGGTTACCAGCACAACCAGAGCAGCAGGTAGGTTTTTGCCACTAAACTTTAAACTTTAAAACAACTTTAGCTTTTGTTTTTAATGCTTCAGGAAGCGTAGATTGAATATGAAATCAACTGTCACTCTTTAGCGATTCGACAGACGCAAGAATGCCTACGAAACTCATTTATCGTGTAAAATCCAGACAGGATACATTCAGGCAAAGAAATTGAGATTAGAAGCTTTAAAAGTTGTGAGATCAAAGAAAATTGTAGCAGTTTTACATTTAATTTTATATAAAAGAGAGAAAAATATATTCACATTTTACATTTACGGACCAGTGTAGTGATTTAACTAAAAATACTATGTTTTAAGGTTTAACTTCCCATTTAAGGTTTAACTTCCCATTTTATGACCTTCACTTTACGATAACAGCCATAACGTTTTCAGTAGTTACTAAAAAACAAATAAGGAAGGAATGAGGAAGAAATGAGGAACTACCTGCCAACTTATTGTGTTTTGGGGGTAAATGCACATTCCACATCTCAGAGAGAAATATTCTACTTTTTACTCCAATACTTTTAAAATATGATGAATAAAAATGCTGCAAAATTGAGCTTAAATGATCACTTATCAGTTATTTGAAGTTTGATGTGTCCGAAAAAATATCAGCATCCAGCTGTTGCTCAAACTAGACAATTAAATGAGTTTAATTTAATTAGTGTTACTAATCTGAGACCAGGAGCGGATACTCCTAAAAAACCAGACAAAGGAAACACAGGACGAACAAACTGATTGTAAAGATGTCTTAGATTAAATTGGGAAACTTAAAGACACAAAAGGACTTAAAAAGAAATCCGCACTATTGTTGGAGAGGACGCGCCAGCTGGAAGAGAGAGAAACACCTGACTTTCTTGTTCATTTCCGAATTCAACTTTCTGTCGCTTCATTAAGTAGATTTGTGAGTTTTTTGGGGCTTTGATTGTTGATTTAATTTGTCAGTTAGAGGAGAAAGTAATGAGTTACTGGAGGTTTGTTTGGGCTTAATGATAATCAGGTTTGGGGGGTATTACTTTAAAAATGTAATATACAGTTACTAATCACCAGGTATCTCAATATTAAAGTAACTTGATTACTTTCCGTTACCTCAGCACCAAATATGTAAATAAAAACAGAACTATTGATGAGTTTTCTATAAGAAAGAACTATTTTTAGCATCAACAATGTGTCTCCCTATTTTTACTAAATGTAACTGTAATCTAATTAGGTATTTTTTTCTGTACCTCTAATGGATTACAGTTACTTTACTTTTGTATCCTGCTACCTAAGTTGGTTACATGTAATCCATTTCTCCCCAGCCCTGCTGATGATGCGTTTAATGACATTTATTTGGTTTTATTTACTTTTACATGAGCACAATTTTTTTAAAGTGGCAGCTTTTATAATATTTTCAACTTTATCTTTATTGTTTCTTTTTAGAAGAAAATTAAAAAAGAGTCAAACAGGAGAGGAGAAATTAAAACTATAGAATAAACACTATATATATATAATAAATCTACTCTTTATATTAACATCCCAGTTTCTTTTGGTGTTTTACGGGTTGTGTAGGAGTTCCTCACAACTGTTTAACTCAGCAACAACATAATGCAGCACTGTTTTGTACATTTCTTAAACACACATTATTATTTTATACCTGTACTGTATATTCAGCCCTGTTTATAGACTATATTTCCTCCAATCTTTACCGCTGTATATATTTTATCCTGTGCAGTTATAATTATTTTTACACCGTGCCACCACCTCCTGCTGTGACCTGTGAAATGTTCTATATCAATCACATCTGTATATAAAATTCTGTATATAGTGTACATACAACACACTATATTTTTCTGTTTTCATTATACCTTGTATATTTCTATTCTATTTTTATTTAATGTGTATTTTCTTATATATTGTGTTGTATCTGGAGCTGCTGTAGCGAGTGAATTCCCCCCAGTGTGGGATCAATAAAGCCTATCTTATCTTACCAGCATTGTTGTACGAAGGCTTTTAGAAATAGCAAGGTCCAAACACTGAACTTACTAGGGGGGGTTGCGGGGCATCAAAGTAGTTATTATTTCACAACTTTTATTGGATATTTCTTGGAATAAATACCAGCGACCTGAGTGGTGTGTACGGCCGTGCTCACCTGACATGGCTGTACACAATAAGAAGTAAAACATGGAAACTGTGTGTTTATGTCTGTGTGTGTGTATGGTGTGTGTGTGTGTGTGTGTGTGTTACAGTAGAGGTGGAGGATGGCTTGCCTATGTTGTATCCTCTCAATGCTCCCGTCCTCCTGACTGAGACGTCTTGCCTCAAATCTACCCATCCTTCAGGTAGAAAAAGATCAGATCAGAGCCTGCTTCGATCGTGCAGCACAGAGTAATGTTCTGTGTTTTAATACTTAACTCATTTGAAATCCTGTGTCAGCAGTGTAGGGGCGTGGCTTCTCCATGCCGCACCTTTCTGGTGGCTCCTGGTTCAGGCAGAGATGTTTCGCTTTCCTACCTCCTGTGTGGGAGCTCCTGGAGCACTGCTGATGTAGATAAAACACGTTAATGTTAACAGCACATAATATTTAAATATTACATGAGTCCAGTATGGTTTAATGTGTGTGTGTGTGTGTGTGGTGTGTCCAGGCCTTATGTGCTCTCAGTTCCCAGGTGGTATCGTGGCGTCGCTTCACACCATCAGAGGAAGGCAGTTTGTCAGTCGACTAGTAATACACACACACCCTGATGTGGGGGGGGGTGGCTGGGTGGCTACCAGTCACAACCAGGTATGAAATAATAATAATAATAATAAACTTTATTCATACAGATGCTTCCAGTGATTGGGAAGCACGTTTGTTGTGTCTGTTCTCATTCTTCTAATCGGAACTTTATTCTTGTTTACAAAACGTCTTTCTCTCTCTTCGTTTTTCTCTCTGAAGGAATGCTCTCTTGGAGTTGGGATTTACTCCCCCTTCACCGGATGACTGTTGAGACCTAATCAGAGGCAGGAGAACGCCAGAGGGGGCGGGGCGGCATACATAGGAACTAAAAAGTACGTTTTTTGGGGGTGGACTTTTGTGACTAATTCGTAAAATACTTTCTTATTACTTCTTTTAAAAGCATCTAAAAGTGAACAAAATCCGTTTGTGGTTCAGGTGGAGAGCTTGCATCACGCCCCCTGTGGAGAAGCTTGAGTTCTGACATCTGCTCCAACCCAGAGCCAGGTAGGTATTCGCAGATTCGTTTACTTTAAAGGACAGTTGTAGGATTTAGTCACTATCTAGTGGGAGTTTTGCAGATCATTTCAATACCTTCCAAGAAAACTAATGACGTTGAAATACCCTCTCTACAGTCAGTGTTTGGTTTTGTCCGTTCTGGTCTACTGTTAGAAACGTGGCGGTTCCAACATGGTTGACTCTGTAGAAGAGGAACTGCTCTGTAAGATAAAGAACAGTTGATTCCTAAGGTAACAAAAAAAAAAAAACCCAAAACGGAAATTTGGGGTTTTATTTTTCAGGTGCACGAATGAAACATACCTATGAATATTTAAGTTGAATTCTGCCAAACAAATCCGTCGTAAATGTTGTCATTTAATATAATTCCCAGTAGCACATTTTAAATCCTTATATTTTAAATAAATGTTTTATTAGTATTCGGCACAAATTCAACATTCCTGTTAGGATGGATGGAGCTTCTTCAATAAGTTCTGCATGAACAAAGCTTGTGGTTAACGCTTCCTCTTAAGAAAAGGAACATGGCTGAGTCGACTGGTTGAGTTGACCCAACGTAGTCACTGGGGGTGGTTTTTGTTGAGGTCGCTAGAGAGTTGTTCAACTGGAACAGGAATGTGCATCGACTTCACTCTGTCCTTCATTAGTCTCGTGCTCTCTTTCTAATTCTCATGTACATTGGACAACTTTGGCAGTACCGTTTGACACCAAGGTCTAACACCATTGTGTCAGCCCTGGCAAATGGGGACAGAAAATGTTTTGGCTAGGCAGGGTTTATAATTGGGGCCAAACTAAAGGTCTTTTAAGTGTGCAACTGTGTAATCTGTGTCGTCAGCGGTGTGAAACTTCCTGTCAGTTGCAGTGCAGCTGTGGCATCTGTCTCACGGTTTTCCTATTTGAGACTGATCAAGCGTTAGGTGTGGCTTGACAATTTACACTCAGCAGTAGCAATTCAACAAGAGGAAAAAGCCAACAAATTTTCATCAGGTCACTCAGATCAACATTTAAACATGGGCAGATTCAGTGTTAGTAAAACAGCATATAATTCAGTATAATTATAATACAGTACAAAGTACAGACAGCTCATTGTGGCTCAAAGTAGTCCTCAGTTAATTAAAATAAAATAATAAAGCAGTGGTCTCTGGTGGGTCCCTGTTCAGCCAGCGCACAGTGATGTGTTGTTGTTTTTTTCTTTTAAGAAGGAAACAGTTTGAAGTCACCAACTTTATCTCTAATGTACTAACTAGTGGCCAGCAGCTACAACCAGTGCTATAGATGATAACAGGTCCATTTATTTAATCATTAATTATCTGTGCAGTTTTATCTGCACACATATTTAATTTAAGACTCTAGCTGTTCCATCGAAACAATAGTATTGTGACCATTAGTTCTGCTGTGGTGAGCAGCCTTCCTACAACAAACCCACAGTGTCTTTTTCCCACAGCTGTAAGATGCTGTGGTAGTATTCTGCAGTTTTGGGGGGTTCTTAAAAAAAAGAACGAAAGAGCAAAAATAATTGAATAATAAATAATAAGATGATAGAGAACTGTGGAGGTTAAAAACACTGTGAAAATATCTGATATACAGTGTCTACAGCACATTAATAGATCTAACTCATAGGCCTTACAAAAGACATTAGACATACTTTAACTGTCTTTACAAAAGTACAGTACATAGTACATGTACTTTTTTATACACAGAAGAACACAACTGTAAAATTAATTAGCAGCATTGCATAAAGCATATACAAATTTTGGCATGATTCGATGATGTTCAAAGTGCTCTGCTCTTTACAGCTTCAGTTAGAGCAATTAGCTCCGCAGGTTCAGGCTGAATAGTGAGACAAGAAGGACCGATTTCACAACTTCATAGTGAGTGATGACCAAAATTAACCTACTTGGTTTGTAATCTACAAAAAGACAATGCAGGGGAGCAGAACTTCATCAAGCCAGCAACACACATTGTGTTCTTTCTGATCCTCCTCTACAGTGTAGCAAGATTGTACCACTAACAGTATCAGAGCAGCGGTGGTAAACAGCAGCCGGGGGGGGCAGTTGCCGAAAATAGGCTCAGGCCTAAAAGTCAGCCACCGATGATCTAGAAGCAAACTCAGGCCCATCCCATTGCTCTCATCAACAGTTGTAAAGGGTCCTAGTCAGGGTTGTGTAAAGTTGGTGTGGGTTTGTATACCTTCAAAACTGCATACTTTGGAATGATTGTCTTGTGATTTACAGGCTTTTGTATGTTTTGAATCGTTTTTAATATGCTTGAGTGAGACGATGCCTCCGGTGTGGATACATGACCCAAGCATGTCAACTTTATTTGGGCAAATCTGTACTTGTGTTTATCCAACATGACTTTGTGTCATCATTTATAGGCCTTGTGCAATACAAAGAAGCCTACAGGATGTCCTGACAGTAATATACACATCCACCAAACCCTAACACCCCCTATCTTACACAAAGGGATAAATGCAAAGTAGCTTCTTGGCTTGCAGATATCAGAGTCATTTAAAGAAATTATTTTCAACCTGGTCAATTTTCCTGATCTGAGAACTGATCCGCAGCAACAACCAGTCAGAGATAAGATCTGAGCAGGAACAGTGAAAACAGATTTAAAATGCAAATGTGTGAAAACTAAAATGTGAAGTCCTGCTGTGTAACGTTTCTTGTACTCTCTTTGTGGTAATTGTCCTCCTCATTGTTGTGTTATTGAATGTCACTTGCGATTGTCCTGTCAACCCGAACATTAGGGGTTCAATTGTTGTCGACTCTGTTTAACCTCCAGTTTTACCAGTCGTCCCCCAAGGGGAGCAAACCAGTGAACAGGTGAGAAGAATTCACGCTGTACTGTACATTAACAGTACGAATGACAGCCGGTTGGTAGGATTTAGTGGCATCAAGCAGTGCGGTTGAAAGTAGCAACTCACTCACGTAACGCTATCTTCCAAGTGCGAGAGAAACTACAGTTTGTGGGCTACAAATGTTCCTAAGGCCAACGAGCCCTTTTTCTATCACTGAGTAAAATGACACATTTTATGGATATTTTCATATCATAAAACAAGTGATTTATGATCAATTATGAAATTATTTCCTGTGAAATTGCATCAGAGATAGTTATTACTGATGAATTCTCTGTCTTGTATTATGCATTTGTTAACAATCACACACACATAATAGGCTTTCTTTTTGAACAAAAACACGTGTTTTTCTACGAGGCTGTTTATCAGAGAGTGAGGGCCTTGTGAATACAACTTGTGTTAAGGTCTTCAAAGGTAAATCTTAAATAATAATTTAAATCAAGAAGGCTCGTGACACCCTGGGTGGGTGTCCCGATCCCCCAGGTTCGAGACACACTGTCCTTTCAGAGATAAAACATAAATGAAGTTCCTTCCAGGGTGCTAATCCAAACCCTGACTAAGCTGTTTCATCATAAATGCATCACTATGTTTTTAAATTTTTTTGCCCGAGTGCCTCAACAGCCGGGAGTCTGAGCTGAAAGTCTGGGTGATACAATGGAGTCTGTTTCTTTCACTCTGGTCTTCAGCATCATCCCCCAGTGTGAGTGTGTTTGAATGTCGTGTGGGGTACAGCGACGTGCTGGCAGAGGAAGATCTCCACTTCCGTCTCCTTCTCAAGGATCTCCGGATCCGGTCAAGCCTGACGCGAGCGCTGCTACGACAGCTTCACAAAGCAAGAGGCGCTCTAAGTCGCGACAAGCAGCGGCACACGGAGGTCAGAGGTTCTTGCTGTTATATGTGGGCCTCTCTCATTTCGTCCTCCATTCCTTTGCCGCCTCCTCCCCATTTCAGATGGGAGGCAGAGGGAGGAGGAGAGACACAGAGAGGAGTCGAAGGCCAAAGTACGCACTATGGTACGAAGGTGAAATGTTACTTAGGAAATGCAACGTTGAGGCCGGATCATTTTAAATACTAATACAAGAGAGAGGACAGAGTAGACGAGGAAGGCACATATAGGAGAAATGAGAAAAGGCCATATCTATCTTTATCTCTATTACTAAAGAATACTGTTCTCTTCTCAGCCTTG